ATGTCAGAACCGGTGAAAAATTTCGTATTCTACAAGTTTCGCACATGGGCGTTGCAAATGACTCGCTAGCGCCACCTAGAAAATTGGAAAAATTAGCCCCTCGTTCACGTTCAACCTACATGTACGAAATTTTCTGGGGACATGTATCGTATCAAGACGCACAAAAAAGCCTCAAGAACCCATAGCCTAAAGTCAACAGGAAGTCGGCCATTTTGAATTTTACGGCCATTTTGGATGATTTACACACTTCGTACTTTAACGAACTCCTCCTAGGATTTCGGATCGACTCAAATTTCTGCTGTGCCTTCTAAAGGCATTGACGATGAAAAGTTGTGCTATTTGCGTTTTCGTCAATGGGCGTGTCCGTGGCGTCGATGATTCGCCATGAAACAGGAAGTTGTACTTCAGTGTACATGCTCACATCTGGACCAAACTGTACATCTAGATGAGAGTCCCGCCTGAACACATGTACATGCCGACATTCACCCACAGTCATAGCGCCACCTGCTGGCAAGAAGTGACCTTTAACGAAGCAGCCCCCGCCGCATGTTTCACCTACGTGCACGAATTTTCTGTGGTACGTGTATCTTGTCCAGACGCACAAAAAAGTCTCTTGGAGCCATAGCCTAAACCCAACAGGAAGTCGGCCATTTTGAATTTTACGTCAAATTTTGGATGATTTACACACTTCGTACTTTAACGAACTCCTCCTAGGGATTTAGTCCGACCGACCTCAAATTTCTGCTGTGCCTTCTAAAGGCATTGAAGATGAAAATTGTGCTATTTGCAATTTTCGTCAATGGGGTGTCCGTGGCGTGGCGTCAAAGATCAACTCTTCGCCATGACACGGAAGTTGTCGTAGCTTCAGTGTACATGCTCACATCTGGACCAAACTGTACATGTAGGATGAAGTCCCGCCCTGAACACATTACATGCTGATATTCACCCACAGTCATAGCGCCACCTGCTGGCAACAGGAAGTGACCTTTTAACGAAGCAGCCCCCGCCGCACGTTTCACCTACGTGCACGAATTTTCTGTGGTACGTGTATCTTGTCCAGACGCACAAAAAAGTCTCTTGGAGCCATAGCCTAAACCCAACAGGAAGTCGGCCATTTTGAATTTTACGTCAAATTTTGGATGATTTCACACTTCGTACTTTAACGAACTCCTCCTAGGATTTAGTCCGACCGACCTCAAATTTCTGCTGTGCCTTCTAAAGGCATTGAAGATGAAAAGTTGTGCTATTGCAAGTTTTCGTCAATGGGCGTGTCCGTGGCGTGGCGTCAAAGATCAACTCTTCGCCATGACACGGAAGTTGTCGTAACTTCAGTGTACATGCTCACATCTGCACCAAACTGTACATGTAGGATGAGAGTCCCGCCCTGAACACATGTACATGCTGACATTCACCCACAGTCATAGCGCCACCTGCTGGCAACAGGAAGTGACTTTAAACGAAGCAGCCCCCGCCGCACGTTTCACCTACGTGCACGAATTTTCTGTGGTACGTGTATCTTGTCCAGACGCACAAAAAAGCCTCTTGGAGCGATGCCCTAAATCAACAGGAAGTCGGCCATTTTGAATTTTACGTCAAATTTTGGATGATTTACACACTTCGTACTTTAACGAACTCCTCCTAGGGATTTAGTCCGACCGACTTCAAATTTGTGCTGTGCCTTCTAAAGGCATTGAAGATGAAAAGTTGTGCTATTTGCGAGTTTTCGTCAATGGGTGTGTCCGTGGCGTGGCGTCAGAGATCAAGTCTTCGCCATGACACAGGAAGTTGTTGTAACTTCAGTGTACATGCTCACATCTGAACCAAACTTTACGTGCTTGATAACTCTCCCACCCCTCTATGGAGGACCGATCCTGACACAGTCAGAAATAAATACAGAAATAAATAAATGCTCAATAAATAATAAGCATCCAATTAAATACACAAAAAATAAAGTAAATAAATAAATGTAGGTAGTAATTAAATTATACAAGGAGACATAAATGTATATATTTTAATTAGTGCCTTTACTTATTCACCTTTGTTATAATTACCTTATTTGTTTATTCAACTTTATTTATTACTAATTTTTTAATGTATTTATTTATGTGTGTGTTTAATATTTTTGTCTGTTTTATTCTTCCTTTGTATTTATTTACCTTATTTATTTTCACCCATGGTATTTATTTCTGCCTGTCTTTTTAAATTTTGTATGCATTTCTGCCTCATTATGCAATGAGGAGGGGCTGTGTCTCAAGGGTCATCTTCTCTGCTATTGGTGGACCAGTCAGACAGGAGAGCTCCTACTCTGCCTGCAGACATCAACGATCTTGCCCCTCACACAGTCAGATGGCTTCCTTCAGTGCGCTGAGGTGTTTAACAACTCTGAAGACAATACTACCAGCAATATCTTCCTTCTCTTTTCACGTAGACGCTCCGACAGACAGTGCTTTCAGTTTGCTGCATGCATGGACACAGAACTGCGGTATAGGAGAAGCACACGGTCAGCTGGCTGCAGCTAAATCTGGAGTGCACTCGTATTCAATTCTGTATGGTAAATTCAGTTTTACGGAGCAGAGCGAGCTGACAGGCAGAGTTAGAGACTTTTTCTGTCCGTTTCTCTCTTTACAAAGACGCATGTTGCAGTCAGAGTCTTCTCTGAGATGCGAGCACGACATACAACACAATTTATCAAATTACACAACGGATATACAGTATGAAAATAAGATGATTGGATTATACTCACAGGAAGTATAAAACCTGTTACATGGTCTATTAAAAGTAAAGTAACACAAAAATGTCAGGGAAATTACTTTACTTAGATTTAAGTACTGCAGTTGTACATTTGAAATACCTTCCTACCTTTCTGATAGGAAGCCTTCTTGAGGTGGTATAAAACATTTCTTCTTATATTCTGATTTGAGTTGTGGACAACTATGACCACATGAATTAAAAAAACATTTCACTGCCCAAGTCAGCTATAACACAAGTCTTGATCATCAGACTACATGCTGTACAGTATTTGTGGACAGATTTTGTCCCAGGATTTCTTATGCATTTCTTCTTCTTCGTTGCATGATTTAGAATAATAAGGTGAGAAATGGGTCTATTCTGAGTTCATCCTGCACTGCAGCAGCTAATAAAGTCCATTTAATCCCCAAAACGCTTTTCTTTTAGGCAGGCTGGAGCAGAAAACAACTCACCTTTCTCAAGTTGTACAGTAATGTCACATGTGTATGAAGGTGGATCAAACAAGCTAATCTTAAATGTCAAAGTAGAGAGGAGCCTAGTAGGCCTATTTATTTTCATTCATTACACAATATGAATAAGCTATGCAGACAGTTGTAAAGAAAGAACATCTTTTTCTTCTGTTCTCTACTTGTTATAGTTACACAGTATTAGGGGTGTGGGCTGTATTAAAAGTATCCACTGTTCTCCCATGCTCTAACACACAGTAACGATGAAATGTGTGCTGTTCTCACATTCTTCCTCTGTATGTACACATAAACAACAAGGCAGGGAAATATAAAAGGAATTTATTTTATTGTTTGGGTACATTATTGTTCAGTGTACATGTTCACATCTGAAACAAACTTTACGTGCTTGATAACTCTCCCACCCCGCAGACATCTACACGCCAATACCGATTTATATTCATAGCGGCAAGTGCTATGTAGCTCCACATAGGGGACACAGGAAGTGACATATAGCACCTTCATGCGGCGTCGGAACCGCGTAGGAAATTCACAGCCGCACCGGCAGAGCTCCAGAATGTGCAACTCGGCCGGCTCACGCGCGGACGCGCTTACGAGTGCGAGGGCCGCCCAACGCTGCTTGCAGCTTTAATTTTTATTTTTTTTTTCTGCAAAGTAAGCTCAATTTTGGGGACCTGAGCATACTCAAAACTCACCAAACTTTGCACACATGTCAGAACTGGTGAAAAATTTTGTATTTTATGGGTTTCGCACATGGGCGTTGCAAAATGACTCGCTAGCGCCACCTAGAAAATTAAAAAATTAGCCCCTCGTTCACGTTCAACCTACATGCACGAAATTTTCTGGGGACATGTAACATATCAAGACGCAAAAAAAGCCTCAGAACCCATAGCCTAAAGTCAACAGGAAGTCGACCATTTTGAATTTTACGGCCATTTTTGGATGATTTACACACTTCGTACTTTAACGAACTCCTCCTAGGGATTTAGACCGACCGACTTCAAATTTCTGCTGTGCCTTCTAAAGGCATTGACGATGAAAAGTTGTGCTATTTGCGAGTTTTCGTCAATGGGCGTGTCCGTGGCGTGGCGTCAAAGATCAAGTCTTCGCCATGACACAGGAAGGTTTTGTAACTTCAGTGTACATGCTCACATCTGCACCAAACTACGTGCTTGATAACTGTCCTGCCCTGAACACATGTACACACCAATATTGATTTATATTCGTAGCGGCAAGTGCTATGTTGCGCCACAAAGGGGATACAGGAAGTGACATATAACACCTTCATGCGTCGTTGGAACCGCGTACCAAATTCACAGCCGCACCGGCAGAGCTCCAGAATGTGTTGATGTTTTTTGTTTGTTTGTTTTAATTTCAAGTTTGATTTATTTTGTATTAATATACACATATTATTATTATTATTATTATTATTATTATTATTATTGTACAGTGATTAAAAATATGTATGAAAGGAATTGTTCTTTTGTAATTTATTTGTAGATTTGGCAGTATTGTTGTTTTGATTAATGCCAATTAAGCTAGATTGAATTGAATTGTTGTAAAACAATGGTTATTCATACTGTTTGAAATAAACAGTTTGATGGTAACCTATTTCCGCTGCATTTGGACAGAACCTTTAGCAGACTGGGTTCAATCAAAGAGACAACGAGACATCACATTCATTACTGTTACTGCAGAAACAGTCAGAGTTCAGTTGTGGAAGCAGCAGCTTCACAAACACTATGAAAGTTCTCCTTTAACATCTGAGCTCCTGTTAGCAGTCTGATGGAGCTGTGGAATCATTTCATTGTGTAACTTTTCTTCATTACAGATGAATGAAAACGTAGTTACAGTTATCTTTTGTTTTTTCATCCAGACACCAACACCTGTTTCAGCCTCACTCTCTGCAGCCCTCTCTACCAGTCATCACCATGGCAACGGAGTGAGTAACATTAACACAATAAATATTTAAAAAAAATTTAAATAAAATTTTTTATCAAAACTAACTATGCAGCAATAGACATTAATAATTATTTTGTTTTATTGTTTCACTGTAATTAAATCAGTTAATTATGTTTTTAACATGCTGAAGAAGACACACAGCTGTGATGTAAAAAGTTGAATACAGTTCTTTTTCTGTTAAAAATGAAACACTGATAATAAAACAAAGACAACAGAGAAACACGGGGAGGGAAAAGTCTCTTTCAACCTGCAGCTCTTTAATCAAGACGACACTGACATCGCTAAATTCTGTAACATTTACAACATGTCTGAACTCAATGATTTCATTACAGTTTTTCTTCATTGCTTGAATACTATAATCAGACTTTTGAACTAAAATTCAAAACCATAACTCCATTTTTCAAAAAGCACACCTATTTCTCTAAACTGTACTCACAAATCCCTTTATTTCTCATTACCTACACCATGAGGTCATTGAGAAAACACTGACATTCAATATTGTTCACTCAATCAACACAGGTTGAGCTCAATTAGCACCCAGGTGGAAACACCATCCATCATCAACCGCTTATCCTGCGTACAGGGCGCGGGGGCTGGAGCCAATCCCAGCTGGCATCGGATGAAAAGCTGGTCCACCCTGGACAGGTCACCAGTCCATCGCAGAGCCACACATAGACAAACAACCAGTCACACTCACACTCACATCCACAAGGACAATTTTTAGAGCCACCAATTAACCTAGTCCGCATGTCTTTGGATGGTGGGAGGAAGCAGGAGCGCCTAGAGAGAACTCACGCAGACACGGGGAGAACATGCAAACTCCACATAGAAAGGCAGGGGCAACCGAGGTTTGAATCTCTGGCCTCTCCCAGACCAAAGAGAGGACGCTGGGGCAGAATAATTAGTTGTTTGGTGTGTTGGACTGTAGAGTATACTAAGGTAAATTTCCTCCAGCTGAACTCAGACAAAACAGAAATCCTGGTCATCGGGTCCAGCAGATGGCAAATCAAATACTGCCATCTGCTGGTTCCCTAGTAAATCACATTAAGCCTGTGGCAAAGAACCTTGGTGTTTGGTTTGATAGTAATTGAAATTTCGAGCAGCACACCACAAAGCTTGTTCAATCATGTTTTTATCAACTTAGAAATATAGCTAAAATTCGATCTATGTTAACTTTTAAGGACACCGAGACCATTTTACACGCCTTCATCTCATCACGCCTGGATTATTGCAACAGCCTTTTCACCTGTTTAACCCAAAAATCTATTGATCGACTCCAGACTGTCCAGAACTCAGCTGCCAGGCTTTTAACCAGAACAAAGAAATATGACCACATTACTCCTATTTTAGCTTCATTACACTGGCTCCCAGTATGTTTTAGAATTGACTTTAAAATTCTATTGATCACTTTTAAAGCTCTTCATGGCCTCTCGCCTTGTTATATTTCTGACCTTTTAGTCCCATACGCACCAGCACGTACCTTGAGATCCTCGGGCAGAGGTCTGTTGTCTGTTCCAGAGTCTCGACTGAAAACTAAAGGGGACAGAGCGTTTGCTGTCAGGGCCCCGAGGCTCTGGAACAGCCTGCCCGAGGAAATCAGGTCGGCTGAGTCAGTGAACTCTTTTAAGTCCCTTCTTAAAACATACTTTTATAGGAGAGCTTTCCCGATCTTATTTGACTTGATTTTATCCCTTTTATTTTATTTATTTGTTTTTTTTAATTGTATTTCACTAATTTTATATTAATTTTTCATGCTCTTATCTTGTTTTTTGTATTATTCTTTACACTTGTTAAAGCACTTTGTAACTTGTTTTTGAAAAGTGCTCTACAAATAAGGATTATTATTATTATTATAAGGTAAAACGTACAATGTTTACATTTGTTATTCCTTTTGTTGTGTTCATCATGTGAAAATGTTTCTGAGAGAACCACAAGCAACATTACTTATAAGCAGTTTTTGTAGTATTGTGTTGAATTTATCTCACCAGTGTGTCAGACTGTGTTTTAGTTTGTGTGTTTTTGAGGACTGATGTGCACATCTGAGGGCAAAGTTTGGTTTTTCAGTAAGATTGAGTGGAGAGCTTTATTTTTAAATTGTTGATTTGAGGTATAAAAAGGTATAATTTAAAGAAATGTGTTTAAGCAATGGATAAAAACGGTAACATAAAGACTGCAGCAGGTGAAAGATGCAGAGAGATCATTAAAGCATTCTGACATCTCTGACAAATCCACAACTTCTCGCCCAACTCCCCAAAACTTACTATTTTGGGGTGTAGCGGGTCGGTGCGTGTGTTCACTGCACAGACTTCACTCGGTTAAAAACTTGAAATGACATTACAAGTCGCGGTCGATATTTTACAAGCACAGACCAGGTAACATTAAAGCAGCATTCAACACAGGGTGCAGATGTTGGTTTGAGTTGTTTGATAGGCTGCTTCATTAACAAGCAAGCGGTACACCTGCTGCCGTGATAACGGATCGCGGGTGGAAAAATATGGAACAAAGATGACAGCATAGTCTGTCAAAGCCTCCCTCCACTGCTTGTCTGGGTGGGTGATTTGCAGGCTGATCAACATCCCGCCCTTCCTGTGACCCAGGGTTTGACTGGATGTGTATTCAGAGCCAGTGAGCAACGGACTTTCAAACTAATAATAATAAAATAAGAACTGCGTTAATGTGCGATAAATAATTGTCGGCATTAATTAATTAATGCGATAATAATGCATTAACGTGCCCAGTCCTAGTTATAAGTAACGTTGCCTGTGGTTCTCCCCCTCAGAAACATTTTCACATGATGAACACAAAAGGAATAATTGCACACATGTTTTATTCCTCAGTGTGCTGTACAGTACAACACGCCAAACAACTAATTATTCTGCCCCAGCGTCCTGTCTTTGGTCTGAGACAGGCCAGAGATTCTTGTTCTCCACCTCCTCACCACCTACTCTCCTTACCTACCTCCTCCACCTCCCTCCACCCTACGCCTCCTCCGCCTTCCCCACCTCCTCATCTTCCTCCTGTCCCGTCTCCTCCGCCAACTCCTACTGTTCTTCTTCCTTCACCTCTTCCTTCTCTCCATACTGCTCTTACTCCTCCTCTCTTCTCTCCTCTCCTCCTCCTCTGGATCCATTGTTCCAAATCTGAATTAACTGACTTCGGCCTTTTTGTCTGTCTATTGAAGCTTCTGATTGGTGTGTTATCAATTTTGACTGTTTGTGTCTGCACTTGGGCAGCTGTGAGATAATTCAGCTCAACATGTGCTGATTGAGTGAAAAATAGTGAATTTCAGTGTTTTCTCAATGATCACATGGTGCAGGCTGTGAGAAATGAAGGGATTTTTATACAGAGTTTAGGGAAATGGGTGTGCATTTTGAAAAATAGAGTTATGGTTTTGAAATTTAAATTCAAAAGCCTGATTATGTTATGCAATTGAGAAAAACTAACAATTTTCCTAAACTCTTAACACATCAACACACTGACAACACACAACTGGCAAAACAATTAACTTAATGCTCAAAATCACACATTGTAAACTAAACTCCAACAGTAATTTTCAAAATACACTTACACACTAACACAATACACTATATCTACCAAAACACTGCAAACATGTCCCAAAATCAAATAAGTTTCCAAAACACTAACATACTTCTCTTCCAACGGGAACATTTAGTCATCATAGCACAATGTCACAGCACATAACACTAATTTTATAACATTATTTTATATGTATGGTCTACCCTGATACAGTAAACAGTAAGGCAAGGCAAGTTTATTTGTATAGCACATTTCAACAACAAATACACATTAAAGAAATAATAAAAGTTCTATATAATACAGTATATTGTATTGATAATAGATTATGGTTTGCAGTGCAGTTTCTTTAGAATACATGGAAAATGATTTACACTTTGCAGCAGGAGGAGCCCTACAATATCCTACGTGTTGGTTACTCAAAAAGTCTGGACAATGGATGCCACTGTGTCCCGTCTGAGGTTTGGCTGTACTGTTAACCAGCCTCTCTGTATGATAGCCCATGGTTTATGACATGGTCTATGATAGGAGCTCTTATTTTATCAGTCCCCTAAGCTCTGGCCCTTCTTTGAGCACCACCACACATTCTGACTCCTCTGCCTCTACCTTATATTGTTCCTTTTCCACACAAGATCAGCCCAAAGAGGTCCTCTTTTACTGTATACCTTATGGTCATATGAGTGTGTTCCTACATGTGAATTTGATTGATCCATTAAGCAACTGTTTCTCAGTAGCAATGGGATAAAAGAAAGGGGATATATTTGTGTTTCAAGACACAATATGAAAAGCTGTTCACTTTGTTATCTTTTCTGATGCAGTGTGAAAGCATTTGTAAATTTGGCAGTAAAAATCCATTGTTTTGGTCTGGGTTGAGCTTGTGTGTAAAGAAGTTCAAGCCTTTTAAATTTGTATTGACTGTTTAACATTTTGTGTGACAAAATGTGTTAATTGTATAGCCTACACAGACAGATGTTGTGCTGTGTTAACAGTTTAGGGAAATTGTTTAAAGTGTTGAAAGGATTATCACAGTGATCATAAAAAACAGTAATGAAACAGTTCATGCAGACATCTTTTAAGCTGTTGAGGACATTCTTATATCAGAAAAGAAGATGAACTTGTACAGTCACTAGAATAATCAAATCATTTACACAGAGACTCCCAGTGTCAGGTTTCAGTCTTGTTACTCAACAGCAGACCGGAGATAAGGTAAAAGAGTTAAGGTTATTTATTTGTAACAATAATAATGTGAAGCAGAGGTGGTTGCAGGTCAGTGGAGCTGGGGGTTGATTTGGATCCTCGGTCTAAATTAGGGTTGCTACCTTCAATACAGGAAAATAAGGGACACCTGCCGCAGTGGGGGCCACACCACTTGGGGGCCCGGCAAAGACAGGCCCGATGGTGTGCCAGTATCTAACTTAAAACATGTTTTCAGGAAAGTATTAAGATTGATACCAATGGATGTTGTGATAAGCTATCTGCTATTGAAACCAGTGTGAACAGATGCACTCAGTCTCTCTATCAACAGACTAGTGGTCATAATGTCAGAGCCGAATACAAAGCTAACGATTTTCCATGAACATCAGCGGACCAGAAGTAGTAGGCCTTGTGTGCAGTATTGGAGCATTAGGCCTACTTCCTTTTATAAATGTTTTCTAGTCAGAAGTACAGGACTCGTCCAGCACTAAAACTATGAACTGCTCAAAGTTGAGAATGATCAAGAGCTCACTCCTCAGAGAACCTGCTCTTGTTGTCACTTTGTTGGTAATTCTGGAAGAGATCCTTTCCACATGTGTCTGACAGTATACTCAAACCTTAAAAAACAAATCATACCATAATGTAGGCACTGAAACAATATTTCTCAACAAAGGCGGCATATGAAGTCCGTGATCAATCAGAAAATGTGAAAATGCCACCGTGCACCACACAGAACACTGGCTGACAAATTGTGACATTTGGTTTGATACTCATCAACTCACTATTTGATTTCTCCCACTGTCGTTGTCATTGGTACTTTTGCATCTGTTTTGTTTCAGAGGAGATGCGGGGCCCTTATCTGACTCAGATTGGCCACGAACCTGACGGTATTAATAAAAACCCACATTGGCAGCGAGCATTACCCAATCAGGGGTAGAAAAGGAGAAGTATTCACAGAATGCGGGTGGGAGGATTTGCATGCGATGCTGCATTAAAGACAACTTGAAAATACGGGACAAATTGCGTCCCATATTGATTCAAAACAGGACACGCTATTCAATTCAAATTAGCTTTATTGACATGAATGTATAGCAACAATATTGCCAAAGCTATTTAGTTCTCAATACCATTTCGTATTTTAAGGGAAGGCTGGCAACCCTAGTCCAAATGATGCGGACAGACAGGAATACAAGTCTGGTGGTGGCAAGCAGAGTGAGTAGGTTATTTCTGAGGTCTGGTACGAGAGGTCTGGAAGTTAGTTCCTGAAGCCCAGACGAGAGCAAACAGACTTGTCTGTGTGGTGTCCGAACGATAATGCTGCGATGATGTGTTGAGAAGAAATCCGCTTGACACTGTTCTTGATTATAAAAGTTTATTACATCAAAGAATTCAGCATCAATTACAAGCTCTGCAGCAGCTTGGAGAGTGACCCAGCCCGATAACCACTCTGTCTCTCTGTACATCAAACACAGCTTATATAGGACATGTTTAGGTCTCTGCTAAATAACATATCAGGGCACAGTGCTGTAGGATAAGTGTAAACATCTGTTAGACACCATAGAAGGGTTCAGTCCCTTCATACACACTAATCTCTTCTCCCCCTAACACTGGGTCAGAGGTCAAATTCCATAGGAGGGTTCACTCTTTACACACCCATCAATCATTACTTCCCCATAAGGGTTCACTGTGCCTCTCTCCAGCTGCAGAGTATTATGTTAAACTATAATGGTCAAATGCACATATGTTATACACCACATCTGCTCTGTACTACTTGAAAATAGACTCGCCAAGTATTCTCCACAGAGCAGAGAGACATGCTGCTGGGACACGCTGTGGCCAACAACTCAAGGGTCTGACCTTGCCAGGAGACTGTAGAATGCAGCTATGTACAGTGACAGGAAGACAAAGGCACAATAGCACGGCAAACTAGGATCCGTTTCTTAGCTAGCGAGCCTTTGTGTTTAATGACCAATTTGACAGTGACCCAGATGACTGCAGTAGAGACAGCTATTACTGTCGATGCAGTACTTCTGTTACTTGGTGTCGACTTGGTTCCGGCCCAGCTGCAACAGTTGGCTCCCTGTGGTGTCCTCTTGCCTTCCGGCTCCCTGGGAACAGACAGGGCTAAGAGACTGACAGGTTCTTACCGGGGTTATGTTATGTCACCTCTTACATTCACAGCACTGGTTATCTATACAAATTGTAAGGGAAATTACTGTTCGTCTGACTTTGGTGTGTTCCTGTGCTTTTAAGTTGGAATGTGGAAACAAATTGGACACTTCTCAAAAGATGTGTTTGATTCAAGTAACCTCTGGGACCTGCTTTCTCTCTAACAGCCAGCAGGGGGCGACTCCACTGGCTGCAGAAAGAAGTGTGATTGTATATGTCTATGAGAAAATGAGGTTACTTCTCAGCTGATTTATTACCTCAGAAAAACTTTCCTAATGGGTGGTGATGGAACAGTGGATAGGACACATGCCTTTAGTGTGAGAGACCCAGGTTCAATCCCCACTGCGACCCTTCCACCAGGGTGTCCTTGGGCAAGGCGCTTAACCCCTAGTTGCTCCAGAGGCGTGCGACCTCTGACATGTATAGAAGTTTTAAGTTGGTTTTGGTAAAAGCGTCAGCTAATTGAATAAATTTGTCAGGATTGATGAGCGCAAGCAGGAGACAGCCCAAATGCAAGACACTGATAACAGAGATACAGTTCCAGGGTTTTTAATCCAAAGAAACAGGCAAGACAAAACTCACAGGCAGTGGAAAGTGGCAACATCCAAAACGCAGAACAGATAGTGCAGCAAATGGCAGAACACACATCATATGACAATGACCTGACCAAGACTGAGGGAAACAAGCAAGCATATATACACACACAGGGTTAACGAGCTGGGAGGGGATACACAGGCGAGGGACATGAGACTAACGAGACACAGGTAGGCAGAGAGACAGGCATGCAGAGGGATTACTGGGGGAACAAACATAACACAGGTTACTGAACAATAAATATAGGCCATATCAAAATAAGTAGTAACAGTTCAGAAGAATATAAATATACTAATCCAGACACAAGCAGACAAATCACAAATAAACTAACACCATCAAGGAACACAGACTGAAACTAGGATAAACAGAACCAAGAGCAGACAAAACCAAAATAACGCAAACACATAACTAGGAGAAAATACAAAGACATTACTAAGATACAAGACAGACAGATACAAGTGAGCCAAACAGAACCTGCAAATGAAAAATGAAATAAACAAGGCTAAACAGAGAACAGAACAGAAAACATGGACCAACTGTTACCCAGACCGGGGTAGGGAACAGAGACAGGAAACAGGACAAGACTCAACAAGGAACAGAACAGAAATAAGGAAAATACCAAAATACCACTAAACACCAACTGACAGATACTAACCAGATAAATAATAACCCAGACTAAATAACAGATACTGAACTGATCAATAAGTAAACTCACAGCGAACTAAACTCAACAGATGACAGAACTAAAAAGTAGATGCAAAACCCATACCTCAGAATCAAGAACCAAACCCCAGAAACAGAGAAACCAAAATCAAAACACAGAGAAGGCACAGCCAAAATAATATAACACAGACAACCTCAGGACAGGATTGTTACAGCAATTTAATGAGTTTATGGTCTCAGTCGCTAGTTTCAAGTCTTCTTCAACACAGCATGATGGACATTTAGTAAATTATGGTCCCATTTAGAGGAACAGAGACCAGGAAGCAGGGGAGGCTTTAGGGCGGGGCTACAAACTGATTGACAAGTCGCTACCATGGCAACCTGTCAATCAAGATAGATATTACAGCTGTACCTAATAAATTGGCCATTCAGGGCATATCTGCTAACAACTACATTAGTGTGTTATAAAGCATTCATTGCATGTTGGGCTGCGGTGTATGAGGTGTACAGGAGGGAAAAGTGTTGAGACTCACATCCATGACCTGGCTGTAGTCTCTTAGACAAAGAGGCTAGGCCCAAAAAGCCTGGCCATGCGGCTTGTCTCTAACAAAGGGGTCAGAACAGAATGCAAAGTTAATAAATGGTAAAATCTATTAAAAATAAATAAGTATAAATGATTTTCTTTTTCTACAGAAACACAAACACATCAACCAAATGCAAGGACATCATTTCCAAAAGTGTTCTGATCCAACCAGGACCTCCTGCTGTCTACCAGCTGAGACCAAAGAAAGAGAACATTGGATCTCTAAGAAGAATGACTCTCGGTGAAAGAAATGTGAACAAGATAAACAAAACCATCTTGCTTGTGGGTGAAACAGGAGCAGGAAAATCTACTCTGATCAACGCTCTGGTCAACTACGCCATGGGAGTGAAGTGGGAGGATGATGTCTGGTTTAAGATCGTAGAGGACGAGAAGAAGAAAGAGGACAAAATAGACAGGAAGGATGAGAAGGAAGAGAAGGACGAGGAGGACGAGGAGGACGAGGAAGGTGAGGAAAAAGGTCAGACAGAGAGTCAGACATCAGATGTGATCGTGTACCAGATCTTTGGTTTTGAAGGTGAAACTCTGCCCTACTCTCTGACCATCATCGATACTCCTGGATACGGAGACAGCAGAGGAATCCAACATGATGACATCATCAGTGAAAGATTATTAGACTGGTTCCGCTCAGAGGACGGAGTTCATGAGATGGATGCAGTGGGTCTGGTGCTGAAAGCAACTGAGAATCACCTGAGTGACCGACTGAGGTACATCTTTGATTCAGTGGTGTCTCTGTTTGGAAAAGACATGGAGAAGAACATTGTTGCTCTCCTCACATTCTCAAATGGTCTGATACCTGAAAATCCTCTGAAAGCTCTCAAGACTGGAAAAATTAAATGTGCCAGAAATGAAAAGAATCAGCCTGTTTACTTCCTGTTTGATAACTGCCAGAACACAGAGAGAACACAGGGATACAAGTCAGCTTTTGAGACTGCATGGGAAACATCAATGAGAGGAATGAATGAATTTACATACTTTCTAGAAAAATCTGAGCCTCGAAACATGAACACAACTGTTAAAGTGTTGAATTCACGAATCAAACTGACAGCCTGCATCCAAAACCTGAAAGAGAGAGTTGAGTTCACTGAACAGAAACAGAGAGAAAACCAACAGACTCAGGAAGCTCTGAAGAAACATGAAGAAGAGATGAAGAGAAATGAAGAGTTCACTGTAGAAGTTGATGAGGTCTACAAAGAAAAAGAAAGGATCAAAGGTGGAATGTGGGGGTTGGTGTTTTATGAAGGAGCTGTCTGCTGTAAAGTCTGTGAGGAGAACTGTCACTATCCTGGATGCACACTGGCCTGGTATCCTGAACACTGTGAGGTCATGAAAGATGGCCGCTGCACTTCATGTACCAGGAAGTGTCCTGTATCAGATCATGTGAAAGAAAAGTGGATCTATGTGACCAAGACAAGGAAAGTTCAGAAGACCCTGCAAGATGTGAAGGAGAAGTATGAAAGAGGTAAAGCAGGATGTGAGGAGACAACAAGCCTTTTGAAAAAACTAAAAAAGCAAATGGAAAAACTTAAGAAAGAAAAAGATCAGATGTTGGAAAAGTCCTTCAAACATGTTGTCAGACTGGATCAGATCGCCCTGAATGTTGATTCACTGTCCACTCATGACCACTTGGACTTCCTGATTGAGAAGATGAAGGAGAAAGGAGACGCAGAGAAGGTCCAGAAACTGGAGGAGATGAAGAGTCGAGAGGATGAAGGAACCAGAGCAGGACTGCGGTACAGACTAACAGCAGCTATAAAGCAGGGAATTAGGTGAACAACTCTTTAAACAGCAAAGTTATTTTGTTCTTGGATGAGAAGTCCTGGAGCTGCTCAGAATCATGGGAAGTTTTACCATTGAAACTGATGCAGTGTGATGTGGTTGTGGTTATGATTGTTTCTGTCAGCTGCTGCTTCTGCATTAATGAATGAACTGTCAGTCTCAGCTCCATAAAAATAAAGTACACAGTGTGTTTTTCTTTCCCTTCAGATTCTTTATGTGAGTTTAACGTGTGAAGGTTCCTCTAATGCTCCTCTCAGTCAGTCCAAGGCTGCTGATTCCTGCTGACTCTGATGTTGACAGTAAACTCCTCACTGACATGTAGAATAGAAATCTCCATAGAAAGCAGTTTCTCATGTTGTCAGTGTGCACAGAGGACGTTCCAGAAGAGAAGTCAGACAGAAAGCTGCTGCTGTGTTTGTGAAGAGTCCTGAAAGCTGATGGATTTCTACGCTGCTTTCTTCCTGTGTCTTCGTGCTCTGAATGACTAGTTCAGATATTTCATGTGGAAACATGTTGATCCTTTATGTTGAGCTTTAGTTACATGAAAGCATCCTGAGTGCTGCAGCTTCCTGTGAGCTTCATGAAATCAGTTTGCTCAGAGTGTCTTCACTGGATCAGCAGCAGCTTTTGGACTCTGCTGAAGCTTCTGCTGAACTTTCAGCTGTTTCTCTTTGGGAGTTTGTGAGGAGCAGCAGGTCTGACAGAGATTGGTTCCAGCTGATGTTTCATCACGTGATCAGCTCTGTTGGTGATGCTTCCTGTAGTGACCACTAGAGGGAGCCAGCTCTGCGTTACTGAAGGTAACATAACATCAGCTGTGATCTGCTGGATAGAACATAAATATTGTCATCATGTATTAAAAACATTTGGCAAACAATTCTAACTGCTATTTCTAATTTCTATAATGACCCTTTGAACTTGATGAATAAAGTTGTATTTATGTCTTTGTAAATAACGTCAGGCAGCTTGTTATATAGTGAGATTATGAATCCAGCATCAGGCAGGTCAGATTTCTTTCTTTCAACAAGGGGATTCAAAGTGTTTTACATGAGAAAGAGAAAGAAAAAATAATATAAATAATTAAAGACTTACTATGATTTTTAAAGTAAAATTAGTTTTTACTAAACTTTTCTAACTGAAGCAGAGTCAGAGAGAAACAGAAGTTTCCAGCTTGGACTGTAAAGAATTGATTATCGATCAGCAGAATCTTCTGCTGGATTAAATGACTTGACAAACAGTTCATGTGTAAAACGGGACTGGTTGTGTTTCCAGAGTTTCCACTACAGTAACTGAACTTTGCTCTTTTATCACATTATTATTATTATTATTATTTACTGCAGGAAGTTACTGATCAAAGCTGCACATTAACAACACTTCCTGTATGCCTTTCAGAATAAAAGCGTTTTAATGTGAAGGCAGCGGCAGACTTTACTGTGAAAAGACGACAGGAAGTGCTGACTGTAAAGTTTATCTTAAAAACATTTTCAGCTTCTTGTTGAAACGCTCTGAAACCAGAAACCTAGTAAACCTGAGTAGTATCTGTAGTAGTACTGCTAGTATTTCTATACTCAACCAGCTGCAGGTAAAGGTGAATGTTTTAATGAGAGAGGGCCGGACAGCCAATCAGAGCAGAGAGTGTTAGGTCTCCATAGTAACGGCGGATGGTTTGGTGTCGCTTCCTGTTTGTTGTTTGCAGCTGAAGGTAAAAACATCAGTCGGTAAGTTGCTGCTGATCAACAAGTTGCATGTTATTATTAATCTGCTAAAGACCGGGACCAGGACCGGGACCAGGACCGGGACCAGGACTGTTCTGATCCCGTACTGTAGTAAAAGTAGCGATACTGCAGTATAAAATAGCGCAGTGAAAATCTAATTGAAGTAGAAGTACACTCAGAAGTACTCTCACTAAAATGTGTTTAAAGTATCAAAGTTTTTCGGTTTTCTCCGAGTCCACAAGTCAAACTGAGCCGAACCGAGAAAGATCAGGTGGAGACTTCACAGACTCGGAGTTACAGGAAGAAGCTGTTTTTATCAGCAAAGTAAAAAATCAAGCGGCCATTATTTGAATGACGAGTCGTGTTTGATGAGCCGCGGTCACGATCACGTGACAGATTAGTCAGGACTTTAACACATCCTGAAGTTTGAAACGTCAGGAGGAGTCTCTGCAGCAGGGGGGCCGAGTCCACCAGGACCCTGACAGCCCAGTCACAGGGTCTTCACAGTGGACCAGGAGAGAGAGGGCAGATTAAAGTTAGATTCATTATATTTTTAAAGAAGAAGAAGGACAGAGTGTGTTTGCAGTTAAAGTTAAATTTATTATATTTTTAAAGAAGAAGAAGGTGTAGTAGACCTAAATTTATTAGTTATGCATTTTAATAAATTTATGAGAATTGATACCCAATTATTATTCATAAAATCAGAATTTCCTCGTAAAGGGCACCACCGGAGTTGTTATAATCCTAGAGTCTCCGGACCTCTAGGTAGTTTGAATAATTATACAATTATTACTAGTGATCAGTTAGTTAATAAATCGCTCAATTATCTTAAATCAGTCAGTCAGTCTCATATCTAAAGGGTCAATTCTCTTGGCAGGAACTATAAATAGGCAACACACACAGCTCTTGATTATATTACAGTGAATTTATTCTCTAACTAAGGTGATAAAAGATGGTTGGATACAGGGAACATAAACATTTGCTGAACAATGAGCCTGGAGGTTCGATTGTGGGAAGCATTTGACTCATACGGCATAGAAGAACTAATGAAAGTAAACTAATGTCATAATTTAAGAGTTAAAATTGACATCTGATCACAGGACGTGTGTTAAGTCTTACTGCTTGTCGACCGTCTGCTTTTGGCCTGTTGCACGGGTCCCACGCTAGCTGCCGATCCTGGCTTTTTGCTAGGGATTCTCCAGGGTTCTCCGTGTCTGATTGAAAACGCCTCCTCCGTCTGGCAATTTGGCGGTTTGCAGGTTTCCTTTGTTGTAGCTGGCGAGACCACGTGGCTTGGTCTGACCTCGGTGAAGTTGGCTTGACGAAAAAGGCTTAAAATGGAACTTGGTCGTTCCTGAATTAGTCCAGTGTAACTTAACGGACTGATAACTTTAACAAACAAAAGAAATAAAGAAAATAAAACAAACTGAAGGCAGATCGATGTCTCGGCACTTCAGGTGTGTAGCTTCAGGCGAACAAAAGGCCTGTTTGTTTCGCTGGCCGAGTCTGGGCGTGTTGCCTGGCGAGGCACGCTACGCGCGTGCCGAAGCATCCAGAGGGCAGAGTGGAAGAGCGAGAGAGGGAAGAGACTAAGAGTCTGGCGAGCAGGTCGCGTGTCGCTCTTTTGTTGCCTGGGGCGTGGTTCCCCAGGGGGCGTCTCAGGTTTCCCCAGGAACTGCCTTTCTAAACTTAATGTCTAAAGAAAAGAAATCTATTTGCACGTATTATAATCAAATATTTCCACAATCGAACCTCAATGGTTGAACGGTTGTACTGTTCTAAGCATTTGGTAAATTGTCACATTAGTCAGGATTTTTATACATTTAACCGCATTTCCGATGAGGGCATGTAATACTTATTTCGTCCACTTGGGGGAGCTCAGGTTACATGAGGAAAGCTTGGATTAAATCAAAGATCGTCTCTCCTTAGGAACCGGGGAATATTGTTGATTCATCCTTAAATTCAAGCTGGCGATTAAGAGTATAGTAAAACATTTGTTATCATTTCTAAAGGGATTTTGTAAGAAAGTATTATGAACAAGCATTGATTACATTAGATGAAGGAGTGTCTTGCTGAAAATAAAAACATTGCACAAGTAACTTCTTTTCAGCACTAATATCAACAACAGATAGCAACAACAGTTAACATAACTACTCAAATAGAGGCAAACGTATTCAGGTAACTAAAGATTTAATTAAATTAATTAGATGCTTTGAGTCTTTGGAGACTGCAGTCCTTTGTCATCCAAAGTTCAGTGTCTGGACCATGTCACACTTAGGTGAGACAAGGAGTATCCTTTTGATGTGGTAATAAAACAAAGAATAAGGTCAGTTTCCACGGAAACGTGTGTGGTGGGGTAAGTTTTGATAGGCTGTTCAGGGAGATGCCAATGGCTGGCTCGTGTCCCTTTGTCAGTTTAACAGTCAGGCCCCGCGTTATCAGCTTCGGAATCAAAAAGGTGCCAGTTTTATGGTCGGGCTAGCACTTAGAGAAAGCAACTTTGACCCCTCCCCATCTTCTCTGGGGAGGAGAAAGGAATTTAGGGTAGCTCCAAATTTATTCAATATAAAATGCAAAAATCCACACCGTTGTTCACTACAAAGGACAGAATGTTTTTGCAGTTAAAGTTAAATTTATTATATTTTTAAAGAGAAGAAGGACAGAGTGTGTTTGCAGTTAAAGTTAAATTTATTATATTTTTAAAGAGAAGAAGGACAGAGGTGTTTGCAGTTAAAGTTAAATTTATTATATTTTTAAAGAAGAAGAAGGACAGAGTGTGTTTGCAGTTAAAGTTAAATGATTCTGTTTTTACAGAACAGCAGCTTGTCAGGAGTTATGCCAGGACCCAGATGCAGACACGGAGACAAAGCAGCAGTTAAACAGTTTATTGACTAAGGCAGGGTGAGGTGGCAGGGAGTCTCTTTCTAAGCAGTAGAGGATGAGGGCTGGCTGGCTGGAAAGTTTGGATCTCGGCTATGAGGGATTTGGAACTGGCAGTCAGGCAGGGAGAAGTTAGTAAAAGCAAACTGGTTGCTAGATTAACAGGCTTAAGGCTAGATGCTAAGGTAAGACCTACGGTACGCGACTTAACAATCCAGCAGAGAATGGAAGTCTGGTCTCTCCTTAAGAAGAGGTAGGGATGGCAGATCAGGAACAGGTGCGTGATAATCAGCAGGTGCAGCTAGTGCCAACTCAGGAAACCAGACACGCCCAGGATTCAAAAAACTGAGAGAACCACCAAGCATGCCTCACTCACCCAAAGGAAAAAAACAAATCAAAACACACTCACTCAGTCCCAAACTCAGGTGAGAGATGCAGGGTTCATGACACAGCTGGTTTTGATAAAACACACATGTGAGCTGTTGATCACAACAACAAATCATTTCCGTCTGTAACTTTTAAAATAACGAATATCTGAAAAGGGTTTAAATGGTCCCGGCTCTCCTACTGTGTTGAAAATATCATCATTAAAGTATTATTTCGTGT